ATGCTGAATGGAGGATCCAGTTTTTATCCAAATAAATTATTCGTTTCTTTGTTAAATAAATCTGATTTAAGTATAAATAAACCAGTCTGATTCATCATCATCATCAGTTTTTAATCATTTACAAACGTATGCTTTTAATGGTTTAACATGTACACAATCCTTCCAACATATGAAGCTTTACATGAATGTAACACAGATAAACAAATGCAATCACCTTGTAGAATAATTACAAAATAGAGGACATGTGATTAAAGTTGTATAAATTTATTATTAATGCAAAACAGAGTATGCAAGATTCTATGTTGTGATGCGATCTTCATATTAAATGCATTGTGCTTTACATGTATTTGAATTAATTTTGAATAGAAAAACTGAGAAAACTTTCTGTTTTTGTTTTGTTCTTTTTGCGGACATTAACACAACAACAAGCTTAAACTGGCATAAATGGATATAGAATACGAATTTTTTGTTAATTGGAGCCACGATTCTTGTTGAGCTTCCGTTCCTGTCCTAAACCTCGGTTAGTCATACGATTTGCTTAACATATCGTCGTGTGAGTTCTTCTAGTGTTTCTTATGTTCGGAACTATATTTCAGAGAAAAGGTTGAAAATAATTACACAACAAAACAACATTATGTTCGTGGGAATGTAAATAATTTGTGTTTTTTTTTATTTGTTTCCATGGTTTTGTATGTTTTTGTTTTTAATCTGGAGAAAGAGAAAAGGTGTTTTTTGTGGCTTTTTCTGTTCAATTTTTTGTAAGCATATGCTGCTGTATATGTACTTTTTCAATAGTCTATATATTAAGGGGAAATAGCGCACAGGATTTTCCAACAAATCAATGTACTTTAACAAGTACAAATGTTGCTGCGAGAAGCTCCGCGCAAAAATAATGCGCTCATTACAGATACCTTACCAAATCATTTCTGCGCACCAGTCAGATTAAGGAGTAGCGTACATTATTCCGGATTTTTTGTAAATCATTTAAATTTGCATAAATATACTTATCGTATGCACTGTCCATGACAGAGGGACCAGATATTAAATTTAAAAAAAATGCTTTCACTGATGCCTACCTGGTAAGGAAAGTAATTCCAATAAAAACAAGACTTGTAAATGTAAGTTGACATGACAGTACTGTAGTCAGTCATATTAGATGATGAAAAATATCAAAGCATGTACACTTTCTTTTTCACCTATAATGCTAGCTACTCACTTTCTACAAATATCAACAACTAATCATTGTAGTAAATATTAAAATCCACATGTAAATAAGCCAAAGCGACTTTATTTTTCAACATGTCCGTTACATGTTTCGCGCCAAATGATATACCGTGTTAAAGAAGAAAGGCATTGATGCAAAGCATCAAATGGCGTCCAAGCAAGAAATGCAGCAAGTGACGATGAACTAGTAGACATCTGATGACCAGATATTCTTTTAAACTTTTCAATGGTTAATTGGATTTTACCAGAATTGTACATGTATATCATAGATGAATGGGCGGACGAAATACATTGTTCATCATGTACTTTTGTCGGCTTGCTAAAAATAAAAATATTAAATGTATTTTCTTTGGAACATACAAAACAGTAGTCAAATTGAACAAAGTCTGTTTTTTTATTATAATTGTAACAAATACGAACAGCATATGAAAATAGTAGCAAAGGAGACTAATATATAACAGGCATTTTTTCTATCAAATTAAGAAAAATGGTTTCTTTCGATGCCTGGACTTAAGATACAGTAGCTATATTTTAATTAAGTCTCAGATAAATACTGAAAGAAGAACACACATTGGAATGAAAAAAAATGGGATGAATTTCAAAAAGACCAAATTCAGGATTTTTTTGTTATACGCGTTAACAAAAATAATGGTACATTTAAAATCATGAATAAATTTGCATGGCATGTTGATATATTGAAACATTATTTATCAGTGGAAGACTGTTACCTGTCTTTTGGACAGGTATCATAGGGTATGAGGAAATTCACTAACATCATGTTCATGCGAGTCAAAGATATAAAAGCTACTTGACATAGGTTATAAATAAAGAGCTATTGTTAATTGATATATTGGAAGATGAATCTACTATTTTGTTGAATTGCTTCAAAATCCTCGTCTGACCCAACAGTGTGTTTACATTCCTATCAATAAACCCATATAACACCTTGACGAAAGTTTCTGTTGTTAAAATACATGTCGCAGTATTTGGCAAATCAACTTTCCACTCAAACCACCATAAAACCGATTGCCTTTAAACAAAATGGAATCAACTTCTAATAGCAAAAATTCGGGACACCAGGGTCTAATTAAATAATCAGGGGAGCTATTAAATTACTTTATTTTTTTCGATAAGTTATAAAGGGTGCAATTTATGGTTGAATATGTTTGCATTTCATTCTGCAAAACTCTCCAGTTCGTTCTATTATCATAGCGCTTAATTAAACTACTTCTATAAATAGAGTTTCGGACTTTCTCAATGTTAAGGTCATATCTATTTACAGCTTTGTTCCCGTCCTCATTCATTAATATGACATGCTGCAAATCACTGAAGGGAGAACCAATATATGAATTTATCCCTCATGTATACAGACTCAATCAAACCGAGTCTGCAATTCTCTTGTAATTTTGTTGTGATTAATGCTTCCGAGGGTTCACTTTGTTCTAGATTTTTATACTTCATAACAGCAGGTGTCAAGTGCTGTGTGGCAGCTGTAAAAAGTTGCCCCGTACTTCACTTCAGTGGTGTTATATTTTTCTGGTCCTTCGGAATCATTGATGCCAGCACTATTAAGTGTAGAGAATTGAGTACCGCTCAAGCCGGTGCTAGTGGGCGTGAGGGATGTTGCTCGTATTCATTATCCCTCATGTACAGACTCAATCAAACCGAGTCTGCAATTCTCTTGTAATTTTGTTGTGATTAATGCTTCCGAGGGTTCACTTTGTTCTAGATTTTTATACTTCATAACAGCAGGTGTCAATTAAGTGCTGTGTGGCAGCTGTAAAAAGTTGCCCCGTACTTCACTTCAGTGTTGTTGTATTTTTCTGGTCCTTCGGGATCATTGATGCCAGCACTATTAAGTGTTGAGAACTGAGTACCGCTCAAGCCGGTACTAGTGGGCGTGAGGGATGTTGCACTTATTCATTATCCCCCATGTACAGACTCAATCAAACCGAGTCTGCAATTATCTTGTAAATTTGGTGTAATTAATGCTTCCGAGGGATCACTTTGTTTCCAGATTTTTTTTTACATAATAGAAATCGAAAGGAAATCGTGCTTCCGAACTTATTTTTAGCTGTAAATCAGGGATTTATTGATAAAAATCGGGTCCATGGACAAAAAAAGTAAACACAAATAGCTCCGCGCCCGCAGCGCAATAATTAAATAATTAAAGAACATTTTTGTACTAGGAAGCAGAAATGTGATATAAATGTGATTGAAAATGTATTCTTCTTCTTCTTCTCATTTTTGTTATTATTGTTGTTGTTGTTGTTGTTGTTATTATTATTGTTGTTGTTGTTTTGTTTTATTTGTATCAATGGTTTGACGCCATGTTTGAGCATTTTAAATTTAAACTGGGACATACGATTTTATGTCCCTGTTTGAAGGTAAAGTAAATTTAAAGTTGTTTAATTTTTGTTCAAATTTTGTAAGCACATGCTCCTCTTTATGCATTTTCAATAGACTATATAAGGTGAGAAAGAGCATTAAATATTCCGCAAAAAGGTTAAGTTTAGAGCATTCCTAGATCTATCTCCACTCAACCGTTTGTTCAAAGAACTTTATATATAACATTGAAATGCTCCGTTTAAAAACTAGAGCATTCCAGAATAAAATCATATAATTTTTGCCAGTCAGACTTTAATGCTGTTTCTATTTTTCTATCATTATTTTACCGTTTAAGGTGAAAACAATTGATGTGTTTGAAAATTATCAATATTCCTTTAATATCTATTGAAATTTTTTTTTCAGAAAGTTAATTGTTTATAATAAATATCAATAAAATTAACAGTCGTAGTGACATCTTCCATAATAAATAAAGATATTTTCTGCGTAAACTTGTGTATTAACTTTATTTTTTGTATGGAATTATTTATACAATGATATTTAATTATTTTCTTACAAAGAAATAACTGTTTTATTTCACTTTAATTCAAAAAAGGCCAAAAACATAGAAATGATTACACTTAGGTGAATTCCCCAGAGCTATGTACAGAAAGTACCGGAAAACGGCGTTTAGCTAGGTTTTCGAATTTCGTAAATAATTTTTACACTTTTTTCATGGAACATTTATTCAGAAATTACATGTTTCACTATTATAACATGTAGATCACATGCTTATATGTGAATTAAATACAGATCTAACCCTTTTTGGGTCATAATGTGAAGGGTCTTACTTGTCTGCGCTAAAAAAGAAAGACGTAATTCCTGATTTCGGTACACGGGTTTTAGATACTACAAATCTCGTTCTCAAAGGTGACGTCACGTATTTGAAATTCATCATGGCCGACACTGTCAAAATTATGGTAGGCTGCTTACAAGGTTAGCTTTTAAAAAAGCTAGTAGCGACTCGCTTCGTAATTTTTTTTCAAGTGGTGTGTTTAAATGTAAAAATGACAGTTCTGTTAGCTGAAGAGACTTCAGCGAACATCAAAATAAAAGTGAAGTCAACACTGGCCCGGTGCCCGATGGCCAGTGTATATGGGTAAAGTCAAAAATAATGAGGCCAAACATTTAAAGGCTACCAAGATTAATATTTCAATAGTTGTGTATATTGTTATAAGTGCTAAAAATAGCATCTATCAGTGTTGTAAAATATGCCAAGTTTCAGGGACATCACGCTACAAGAGAAAAAGATACAAGAAAAAAATTACCCTAAAATGTCAGGAGTGTAACACTTTTAGTGTGACATTTTACACAAATGATGATTCTCTATTCCTGATACAGAAAAACAGTTTCTTAAATGACAATTTTTGTCACTTATGTTATTTATCTTATTCTCTCGCAATTGCTTTTTCCTATTTTTTTTTGTAAAATGTAGGTATCCCACTTGGTTATCCAGTCACTAAAGTCAGTTGTTGTAAAATAAAATGTACTTTAAAAAAAAGCATGGTTTGTACTAACAGTAAAGTTTCTGCTTATATCTTTGTTATTAAGAGCTTTTCCTTGCTTCTAACATTTTGACCATTGTATATAGTTAAGAATATAAATTCTCTTTTTTCTATGCTATAAATGTTATTGACTCGGTTTCGATTCAAAATAATGACAGTGCTCAGTGTCAGGAGTGTAACATCTTGTACTTTTACTGATTTCCTTATTGCATATAAGGTGTTATATTAATATATTCTTTCTTTTTCAAAAACATGAGTCCAAGTGATGTCAGCAGTGACATAAGTTCAAGTTAACTAAATCAAGCACTTTCTGTACATGATCATCAGTGATGTCAGGAGTGTAACACTATTTTTGCCATCTTTTAACCTTGTAACGATTTCATGAATATACCATATAAATTTCGTATCTAAATATGATTCTTGCCACTATTCATAAGGAAAAGTAATTAAGTATTTGTTTTTTTGTTTTTTTTTAAGAAACCACAATGCTTAAGTTCTGTTTTTAGTATATTTACTTAAATAACATCAAAATTTCCTAAATGTCTACTATTGACAAGTATAATCATTGAAATTTAATGATAATACACTAAAGAAATTACTGAGAAATTAAAATCATGTATATACTCTTTGCAGAACAAAGCATTTATATACAATTATTGAAGATTAAGTATGCAATATAAGTAAAATACAGTATGTGAGAATAGTGAAAAGTGTTACACTCCTGACATTTTTTTCTTTTTCGGCAATTGTAGTTAACTTTGTTTTATTTTCAGCAGACTAATAAACAATTGAAGTAGATATAAAAAAAAACACTATAAAACTTATGTAAACAAATATATATGCCAATTAGTATGATGAGATTTGATATTATTTCTAAACAGTAACCAAGTCAATAACAATAAAGACATACAGTAATTTTTTTTTCATCTATGATAATTACTGTTAATTCTGCAATCATTTTTGTTATCACATTGTTTGAATGCAGTTCCTGCATATTCAATTTTCAGTTATTGTAGTCCTTAGTCTTTTAAAATACTAACCATTTTAATTCTGCCAAAACACTGCATTTTTGCTCTGCTTTTGCTTAATACCTAACCTTAATAAAGTAGTAGCTAGTAATACTAACAATTGTGAGAGAGAGACTAACCTGAGAGGTATGCTTACAGACAGTCTTATATATATAACTACTCAACAGAGCATAAAAATGAAACTCTAAGCGAGTTTGAAAATAAAATTCGCAGAAAGGGTTGGAAGATTCCAGGTACTTCTCCTGATGACTGCAATTGTTTCTTTTGGGCCAGCAGTGATCAGTTACATGCCCTTGGGATGACTCAACAAAGTCACACTCAGTTGAGAAGCAAAGTAATTCAATGCAAGATAAACAAAAAGGAACAATTAACATAGAAAACTTATACTTGTCTTAAGTATTTCATTAAAAAATATTTTAAATCAATATTTTAAGATATTAAGTCTCTTGCCTGAATGTGTCAGGAGTGTAACACTCAAATGTTAAAGTGAAATTGTGCATTTTTTTGTGAAATAGATTCTTCATGGTCATTTTGATATTTTCCTATTGGTTAGGAACAGAAGCTTAATTAATATTTATAACCTTTATTTCCATTATTTGCTAATTGTTTACATGTTAGAAACTTGTTTTCGGTTTTAAGTGTAACTTCATACATATCTTTGCTCTAAGAATAATTCTCAAATGTAATAACCTATCAGTATGTTTTCAAACATCAGTGGTGTTCTGTACATATATGTTATTTTTACCTCCAATGTTTCTGTAAAGAACTATTATCATTTAAACAAGTTATGCTAGTCATGTCAGGAGTGTAACGCTTTTTTTATAAAATACAAGTTAAATTTGACTGCTTATTATTTTTTTTTGAGAGGATGAAATATTTGGAAACTTAATTTTACATCAAAGTAATTATTAATACATACTAACAACTACTTTTTTATTTCTCTGCCCAATTTTCTCCAACTTTAGAAAAACTTGATGTTCTTACATTAAAGAAAATCAGACTTTAGTAACAAAACAATAGCATTTTTTTTTCTGTTGTAAAACTACTGGTAAAAAAATGGTATATTTTTTATCCGTACATCACTACTGTTACAACAAATATAACAACACACATGATTTAATTAACATTGGGAAGTATAGTGACACAATTTTATAAAGCATTGGTTTTGTTAATTTTTGTTAATAAGTTGAAATAAAATGTTGATTTATACAATTTGTGTTGTGTTAGATAAAATCCAATTACTCGGCATTAAACATCAATCAATATCACATGGTTTTAGGTGAAAAATAAGTAGAAATATGAAATTTCAATTTTGACCCTATTTTCAAAGTTTTGCCTCATTATTTTTGACTTTACCCATATAAGTTCAGGCCAGTGTAAATTTAAGAAAATTTTGTTAATTATTTAGTAGAATAAATTCAAAACTGGAATTCGGGCCAGTAAATTCAAAATCTTAAACTCATTGACTGAAAGTGACATATAAAGTTCTCTCAGTTTAACCAAGATGAGTATGAGTATATATGAAGGTGCATGTAAACAGATAGAATGAAGAACCTATGTCTATGTACATTTACTATATGGCCTGTTGACCTTGACCACAAAATGTTAGATAGGTAGATTTCATAAAGATGTCTCTTTATACAAAATTAAGTTGTAATACATGTATTTTATTTAGTATTGGAATATGAGGCACAAGTCCTAAAGTAACACAAGTTGTCAATCAATTCAGCCAGAAAAGCCGGGATCCTATACAAAAAAATATAGGGATCCCGGAAATTGACCAGTCTAAGAAGATGTTTTTCAGATAAGCCGGGATCCTATTAAAACATATAGGGATCCGGGAATTGACCAGTTCAAGAATATAGTTTTCAGAAAAGCCGGGATCGTATTAAAATGTAAATAGATCTCACGGATTGGCCAGTTCAAGTATATAGTTTTCAGAAAAGCTGGGATCGTTTTAAAACATATAGGGATCCCGGGATTTGGCCAATTCAAGAGGATAGTCTTTGATTTTTCCAATTAATTAGGCATATAATTATAAGTATTGTGATTTCCGCATTTTAAGTTTGTTAATAAATAGCTCTAAATATATCTATATTTTAAGTTAAATTAATTTAACGTTCATTATATACAATAAAAAAATTAACGTTTAATGGCCTTTCATTACGACAACAATCAACACAAATATAGTTCATTAGGTTTTTCCTCCATATCTTATACGATCCCGGATCCCGGGCGTCCCGGATCCCGGCTAGTAAATACATACACTAAATACCGGAAAGGATAAAATGACCGGAAAAAATAAAAAATGCACAGAACCAGATGTACACTTATGTTAATTAACCAAACGAAAACTTACTACAGAGAAAACAGGTGAAATCACTAAATCAGAAGTCAGTGTAAATATGACTTATTAAAAAGAATTCATAAAGACAAACATTTTAATCATCATTATATCTTTGCGCTCAAAACAATACTTGCTGATTTTTAAAAATGGCGTGAAAATTGAAGGTTTTTTGACGATATGTAAGATTAAATTTGATTGGCTAAATAATTTTGGATCCTAGTCCTGATAGATAAATTTTGTAGAAAGCTGGAAGCCAAGCTTCGATTAAATTTTTGGATGTCTTCGGAGTTTTAGGTTGTTTCTCAGTAAAATCCTACCGTAATACCGGCTCGCCGTGGCGAGCCGGCAAAATGACGGACTTTGCACTGTAAAACATTTGTCACACACAAAATATCATTCATTGCAATATTGACCAGTCTAAAATAAATCCATTTGAACAATGTTATGTGATGTGAATCCTGTAACTTTTAGGAAATACCCGTTCATTTGTAAACATTTGACAGGTCAACACAACAGGTGGTTGTTATGATTATTTTTAAGAAATTGAAGACAACTGCCATTAGAAGATTCTTTAAGATGCATGATCGTTATAAGTGTCCTTTTAAATTCATTATAATTAATGATCTTTATTGGTTATCGCCAAATTTTGACTTATGTCCATGATGTTTAGACCCAGACCCTAGTCCAATATATTAGACGTTACAGGCTTGTTATAGTTTATGTCGGTCAAGCCTGACGTCTAATAGTTATTGCTCAAAAACGCATAGCATCATAAGAAATTCAAAAAATGTCTATTGTTTTGCCTTTCAAGCTTTATTCAAAAGCTTATCTTCTTTTCTTTCAATTTCATGCTCAATCATACACAAAAACTCTCAGACAATGTACTTATCAATTTAAAATGAAATATAAACATCAATCTATTTTTGTCTATCAGCCATACTGGTTAAGCAAGGTGCTTTACAGATTGATTCCAAATTTTTGAACGGAAAAATATATTCGAACACACTGGCGGTGCATGGGCAATTATTTCGTTAAAAAAA